GGGGGGGGGGACGGCCGCGACAGGCGGCACCACAGAGCCAGTGCTGGAGGGAACTGGCTCCTGCTTCCCCTCACTTGCTGCCTCTGATACAGAGGCAGCAAGGGGGGGAATGCGAATAGTCAATTAGATTAATTTATAAGACTAGGCTTATCAGTTAATCGACTACTCGTTCACATCCCTATCAGATACATGGCTTACTGGTTCCATGGCTCTCAGCATACCCACTATATAAATTGTTCTAACACTTCTGGATACAAGCATCGGGATATGTTATTTAGAAAAGTGTTAAAAGGAAAATAATAGGATGGATAAAAATTGATGTTTTTTCTGTACGTTATAAGTTTTCTTTTTAAAAATAAGCCTGTTTAAAATGAAATCTGAATTGAATACAAAATATATTAAGGTTTAAGTTTATATAATCTCTTCAAACATGTAAGTAAATAAAAATATGCTGATTCCATGAACCTCTATCCAAAACTGGGTGTTAAAAGCTGGTTTTCTATATATAACAAGAATTAGAGGAAAAACATCTAACTTTTGAGGTCAAGGTTTATAAAATGATACAGTAGAAATCCAAGGACTGTGTTACTGAGTATAAGAGACTGGGCAAAATCATCACAGGCATCAGGATATGGCCTATGATTGCAGGATACATTATCATGATCCTAACAGGAACATCACTTAGCCCACCTGGGTGGTCTAAGACTCCTATTTTATAGCTTATCCCTACATTGAGCCCAGGGACCAGGGTCAGTTCCCAGCTGGTATGTGGCATTTCAAAAAGTGGCAGTGCTGTGTGGAGCCCAGGTCTGGCCTCAGGCTCCATTCGGCACTGCCACTTTGAAGCACCTCCCCTTCTCTTCCCCCACACCTTGCAGCCTCTGATAGAGGCAGCAAGGGGTGGGGGGAGGGGAGAGCGACTAATAAACTAGTTGTTCACATCCCTACTCCATCCTTAAATTAGGAATATATTTCTCCACTCACCATAGAAACTTATGCTCCAGCTCATGGAAAAACACTGATTGGTCTGCCTAGTAACTAATAGCCCTTGATTATGGATGCTTTTGGACACAAAGTAATGGTCTCCTTCAATGTCTACTCAGACAGAGAAACAGAAATCTACTAAATTTTTCAACAGCCTTCATCTCTACAGCTTAACGCATCTTAAAAGGCAACTGGGTTAAGACAAGGCTTGTTAGTTCTTTTGTCTTCCCAAGGATAGAGGAGATATGCAACAAGGGGCAGTATGTACAACCAGAAAGGAGCAACACTGGTGTCAGAGCAAGATCCTGTAATAAGACAACATTCTTCAGAGTGTGGCCTCTAATGTTGATTTCAACACCTGATAATTAGAGCAAACAATTGCCACGCTGCAATGTCATTAAAAAAAAAACCCTATTTGGGAATACTTTCAAGAAAGTCCTGTACCTCTAGATAAAAAAGGAATATGTTCTGAGTGTAAACAGTGAATAAAAAATGCAAAGTCTAGTTGTTAGGATGAAATGTTATGAAAAATGCTCTTCAAAAGGCAGTGAACTGAAGAAAATGTGGACATGCCTGAACAATCTGTATCAATTGGTTAGTAAGCTTATTTTTACACTGTTCTTATGACCTACTTACTGTGTCTTCTTGTACTAATAAATAACAGGTTATGAACATAAATGTGGGCTTGGGCATATTATTTACAATTTTCAAAGTGTTTGTGTTCAAAATGTAATTGGTATGATTGTAATGGAATATTTATCAATTACATTTTACTGTTACTGCTGGCCTTCTGAAATGATTTTTAATTGCTCAATAAAATATCCTACCTTGAGATTTTCTATTTAAAAGTCAAGATTTATTAGGCATTTATGAATTTTAACATTTAAAAAGGTGTTTCACATACCCCAATCTGTTTGGTGTGTTATTAGGAAACAAATATTTAAATAATCTTAATGCTTTATTTTCCCTATAAAAGAGGATCTAATAAAATATCATTTAAACAGTAGTACAAACAGATGCATCAGAAGGAACCTTTCATTTACAATCTTTTTTTAAAAGCAGTACACTGAGTAATACTCAGTGATAGACTTTTGTTTTCTCACACACCATTTTATTTCAGAGGCCAGCTTAGACCTACGATGTTATGAACATCCAACATCTGCAATGTCTAAAATTTCACATGAAACTAATCATATACTGGTAATTTACTGTTTGGCATAACTATAAAAACTTCATCATCCAGTAAAAGTATGGATAAGTTGTAGTCAGAACCAGCAAATTCGATAGTCCCTGGAGGCTGGGCCAGCAGCCAGTGCACTCCAGACCCCACCCCCAGGGAGCCCCCTGAGACCCAGTGCTGCTGTCTATCAGAGGCAGCAGCATGGGGTGGCAGCAACCCTTGGGGATCTGAGCTCCTCATGGACAAAGGTTGCTCTGTGGCAGCCTTCACGCCTCCCCCCTCCCAGTGGGAGGGAGGGGAAGAGGAGGCACCAGGGAGCTGGTGCTGGGGGGAAACCAGCTTTTAAGCTGTCCCCCCCCCCCACAACTGGCTCCTGCCTGCCCCCCTGCCTCTGTAGGAGGCAGCAGGGGAGGAGGGAACAGGTGCCACCCTCACCTTCCACACTGCTGCCTCTCTATCAGAGGCAACATCATGGGAGCTGGGGGGGCATGCAAATCTGGTTCTTGTGAGGAGCCAGCTTTTAAGTCAGTTCTTCCTGGGCACCAGCTCCTGTTCCACTCCCCACCCCGCTGCTGAAAGAAAAAAAGTTGTTTTTAATAAAATAAGGAAACGATTCAAATATTAGATAGAGCTTGATGGTAGACAATATTTGCAGTTTTTTTCTGTCTTTTGCTAGAATAAAAAGGGGGTGGAGTGCAAGAGTGAGAGGAGGAGTCTGGAAAGATTGGGGGGGTGGACTAGGTGCTGGAGTGAGCACAGGATGGGTGGCTGAGGGCACAGGGTTTAGTGCGTGCATGGGCTCCTCTCCTAAGCTGATAGCTCCTCCTGGGGGAGGCGGTGGGCAGGGCTGGCTCCCCATTTTCTGGCTCTTACCAGGGAGTCGAGGCTGTGTGGGGCGTCCACAGCCTCTAGCTTGTCTGGGG